TTCTATTTAAAGACACATGCATACACATGTTCATTGTGGCACTGTTTACAATAGCAAAGACCTGGAACCAACCTAAATGTCCATCAGTGATAGACTGGACAAAGAAAATGTGGCACATATACACCATGGAATACTATGCAGCCATAAAAAACAATGAGTTCATGTCCTTTGTAGGGACATGGATGAACCTGGAAACCATCATTCTCAGCAAACTGACACAAGAACAGAAAATCAAACACTGCATGTTCTCACACATAGGCAGGTGTTGAACAATGAGAACACTTAGACACAAAGGGGAGTATCACACACTGGGGTCCGCTGGGGTGGGGGGGCTATGGGAGGGATAGTGGGAGGGAGGGCGGGGGAGGAATAACGTGGGAAGAAATGTGAGGTATAGGTGATGGGGGGATGGTGGCAACAAACCACATTACCATGAATGCACCTATACACAATCTTGCATGATCTACACATGTACCCCAGAATCTAAAGTACAATTTTAAAAATCTATTTGTTCTATCAATTACAGAGAGAGAAGACTTGAAATATTTAATTATAATTATATATTTGTCTGTAGTTTCATTCCTATCATTTTCTTTATTTGTTTTGAAGTTGTGTTATTAAGTGCATACATTTACAAGTGTTAGGTCTTTTTCATTTGACCTCTTTATCTTTAGGAAAGTTTTCTTTTGGTTCCTGTTAATTTTCTTGGTCTGACATCTATCTAGTTCAATATTAATATGTCCACTGACTTTCTTTAATTAGTGTTTAGTATATATTTCAGATTTGATGTATTTTTAATCTATTTGTATTTTTTTTTATTTAATAAGGATTTCTTGTGTACAGTATGTAGGTTGTTCTTGCTTTATCCAATTAGAAAATCTATGATTTTTAATTGGAGTGTTTAGACCACTCATATTTAGTATATTCATAGATATAATCGAATTTTCTTCTTTTAATCCAATCTGTTTATTTTTCTTTGTCTTTTCCAGATTTTTATTAGAATAATTGAATATTTCTTATGCTTACATTTTATATACACTATTGGCTGATTAGCCATGTCTCTGTTTTAGTTTTAAGTAACTGCTCTAAAGTTTACAACATATACATTTAACTTATTATCATGGCCTATCTCCAAATAATATTATGACATTTTACGAATAGTTTCAGAAACTTAAAATCTATTCCCACCCTTCTTTGGTGAAAATGCTATTATATATTTTTCCCTGAAAATGTTCTTTACCTTTCTGGCATTACAGACCTGCTGGTGATAAATTCTCCTAGATCTTTTATCATATGAGGTAGTCTTTGTAATTCCTTTATTATTAAAATATACTTTCACTTGGAATAGAATTGTAAGTTGACATTTCTTTTCCTTCATTTTAAATATTTCATTTCAATGACTTCTGGCTTGCATAGTTTTATAAACAAAGTTGGCTGTCATTCTTGCCTTTGCTTGGCTGTATTTAATGTGTCTATTTACCCCATTGGCTGCTTTTTAAATTTCTTTTCTTTTTTTCTTTGAGACAGGGTCTCACTCTGTCACCGAGGTTGTACTGCAGTGGCATGATCTTGGCTCACTGCAGCCTTCACCTCCTGGGTTCAAGTGATTCTCCTGCCTCAGTCTCCCAAGTAGCTGAGATTAAAGGTGCCCACCACCACACCCAGCCAAGTTTTTTGTATTTTTAGTAGAGACAGCGTTTCAACATGTTGGTCAAGCTGGTCTCAAACTCCTGACCTCAGTTGATCTTCCCACTTTGGCCTCCTAAACTGCTGGGATTACAGGCATGAGCCACTGCCCTCAGCCTCTACTGACTGCTTTTAAGATTTTCTCTTTATCATAGTTTTGTAGTAATTTGATTTTGATGTATTGTTTGTATTGATATATTGTTTTCTTTGTTTTTTATTCCTTAGAGTCTTTTGGGTTTCTTGGATTTGAGGGTTTATAATATGAATTTTTTTTGACTATTAGTTGTTCTTTTTTTTTTTGGTCCCACCATCCTCTTTTCTACTTCTGGGAGTCCAATAATAGACATGTATATTAGACTGCTTGGTTTTATTCCAGAAATTACTGATGATGTGTTCATTTTTATCTCTTTAGTCTTTTTTTCTTCTCTTTTCTTCATTTGGATTATTTCTATTACTATGTCATCAAGCTGATTTACCAATTTTTCAGAGTCTAATCTGATGTAAATTCTACACAGTGTATTTCTATTTCAGATATTGTATTTTCTATCTCTAGATATTACATTTGGGTCTTGTTTATAACTTTTATTTATGTCCTCATTCATTATTTTTATGTCTTTCTCTACCTTCTTGAACATATTGAGCATATAATGGTTAGATTAAATTTTTTGTTTGCTAATGCTAGCATTTGTCATTTTTGTCTGTTTCTATTGATTAGTTGATTTTTCTTCTATTGATGAATTATATTTTCCTGCTTCTTTGGCTGCAAAGCAATTTTTGAATGGATGCCAGCCATTGTAATTTTTATCTTATTGGGCACAGGATTTTACTTAGCGTGTTGGATTTTTTCCTAGCACAAAATCAAATTACTTGGACTCAGTTTAATCAGTTTCAGGCTGTCTTTTAAGCTGTGTTAGAGCAATTACTTAGCATCCTGATCTAGGGCTAATTTAGACTCAAAATTCACACAATGTCCTAATGTCCTGGATATAAACACAGTGTCTAAGATCCTGTATATTACTTGTATATTATGTGGTCTTTTCAATGTGGCTGGAGGGTATGCAAACTATTGTCAGCCTTATTATGCTCCCCCACCAAATTTTTACCTACTGCTTTTCTGCACTTCTTACTACATCCATGTGTAGCATCCTCTTACCATGTACTGATCCATATTAAGCCAAAAAGTAAAAGGAACTCTTTAATACATCTCTGGAGATTTCTCTCTGTTATGTTTCCCTTTTTCAGACATTCTATCCCACAGATCCTTATCAACTTGACCTCCCCTACTTCTGATTTTTGTCTATTCAACTCAATGAGTTCTGTGGTGTTTTTTGTTTTTGTTATTTTGTTTGTTTGCTTTTGTTGTTTGTTTGTTTGACAGAATCTCACTCTGTCACCCAGGCTGGAGTGTAGTGGCATGATCTGGGCTCACAGCAACCTCTGCTTCCTGGGCTCAAGTGATTCTCCTGCCTTAGCCTCAGCAGTAGCTGGGATTACGGGCGTGCACCACCATGCCCAGATAATTTTTGTGTTTTTAGTAGAGATGGGGTTTTGTCATATAGACCAGGCTAGTCTCGAACTCCTGGGCTCAAGTGATTCATGTGCCTATCCTCCCGAAGTGCCAGGATTACAGACATGAGGCCACATGCCCAGCATTTTCTTTTTCTTTCCTTTCCTTTTTCTTTCCTTTCCTTCCCGTCTTCCTTCCTTGTCTTCTTCCTTTCCTTCCTTCTTTCCTTCCTTTTTTCCTTTCCGTCTTTTTACCCTTCTTTCCTTCCTGCTTTTTTATTTTTCACTATACTACTTCTTGAAACCTGTCATTTGGTAGTAGGCTGAAGCATTCAAAGGGTTTACATAATTTATTTCCCTTCTTTTAGGGATGACTGCACTCTATTGCTTGTTATTCAATATCTGAAAACCATTGTTCTATATATTTTATCTGACTTTTTTCTAGTTTAATATGTACGAGTAAATGTAGTTCCTATTATTCCATAATGGACAAGCGAATGTTATGCTTTCAATACTGAATATAAAACACTGTCTCTACTTTTTACAAAGTGAATCTCACTTCCTTAGCATTCATAAAAATGAAGCTCAGCTTCTAAACAACTAGTAGTATTAACTTACCTATAATATTACATTTGGGGAGAATCCTGGGGCATGAGACAAATAACCAATTTATATTTGAATATCTCACGGTCTTCTGTAATTAGTGGTTGAAACTTATGCCAGTGGTTCTCTGGTTTTTAATGTCTGGATCTGTATCCACATATCTAGAGTAGTCTCTGGTGTTGGTGACTGTGTGTTTAATTTACTTTTTTTGACTCAAGAATGACACCCACGTATTTCATTATGCCTCCATAAGAGCTTATTTTTAATAAGAATTGGCTGAACTATATTTCCAAGTATAGACATGAGAGAATCAAAGTTACTAATTCTAGAAGATAATGAAATTTCAAAAATAATTTTTATCTGCTTCCATTTCACTTACCTTGTCCAAAAGGACTCTACTGAAAATGAATCATAGTTAAGTTTGCCAACTTGATTCTTTAATAGGTACTTGCTTGCCCGAATAGAAATTTTTGATTTTCTTTCTTCTTTCCTGCCTCTTCGTTAAAAAAAAATCCTTTTGTTCTCTTTCTCCTTTTCCCCTAAAAATAATATATATGGCCCTCTAAACTTTTTCATTACCACACTTACCATCACTGTTCATGTCTCTGTATTTTGATTCCATGCTATTTCCTTTGCCTAGAATATGTTTACCATGTTTCTTTCTTGGATAACTCTCATATATTTTTTAAGGCTCAGATCAGACACCATCAAATAGGCTAATTTGTACCAAGTATGTGTCCAGCATGTATAAATATTTGTAATGAGTGAATGAAAACATAAATAAAATGAATTATCTGCTTCAGTGTCTTCTCCAGTATAATAAGTACATAGTGGATAATAATGCGGGCTCTAGATCCAACTTTTTGACTCTTTGGGTTCAAATCCTCTTTGGGTTCAAGTTCTACCCTCTTGATAGCTATGCAACATTGGCTTTACTACTTTTTTCTCCTTGTGACTCAATATCTTTATCTCTACAGTTGTGCTTACAGTACTAGTCTTGCACAGTGATTTTGAAGATTTGATAATACATAAAGTGCCTAAAATCATACATAAAGACTCCAAAAATAGCAGCTATTTTTATCAACAGGAGCTAATTTTTTTATATCACGTTCACTGATCTGTCAATTTTGCAATTAAGTTGTCCCCTCAAGTCTGCCTTCAAATTATAAATGTTTCATGTTATCACAAGAAAGATTACCCAAATATGACAGAATGAGAATATTATGCTTTTTATTATAGTCACATAAAATAGTCAGTTACACCAAGTTGTCCAAATGCATTGGCGAATTAAAGCCTCCAACTCTTACAAATTTTTATACATACATCTATGCATTTATAAATACATACATATGTAAAAGATATATATTTTCTACTAAAATAAAGTACCCAAATCTTGATATATGGGGCATAATGGGAGAGAAAATAATCCTAAAGTTTTATCAGTTGTTGACTGTACTTTCAGAATACAAGAATCTGTTTTAGACACATTTATTCAGCTGTAATGAACTTTAATCTCCCATTCTTTTTTGAATTCTTCTAAGTGACTTAATTTATCCAAAATATCAAAGCAAGTCATGTGGCAAACTTAATAAATCCGAGGCTGTTTTTTCTGACTGTATCTGGCTCAAAGTCTAGACTTCCCAATGGAGGCACAGTTAAGCTCCATTCTTAATTTTCTTGTTTTTTAGACTGTGGTTTTTCTGCTAAGGTGATAAACAAATCATTTGTCTGTAAATCTACATTTTCTACTAGCTTTCAATAAAGTCAGGCTTTAGTGAAAAGACTTCCAATGTTTTTACATCATCCTGGCTTGATGAAACAAGGCCCATCAGGATCTGGATTGTGTATCCTACTGCTTTTGTTACAGTGAAAATCTTGTTTAAGCCAAGGAAGGAGAATTATGATGTAATGATCAATAGATCATTCAGACAGTCAACTCAAAATGAAACAAACTCCTTGTTATAGTGAAAAACATTAGTGAGAGGATGCTTGAACTTAAGAATAAAGAAGATTAAAGAAAACCTAGATGATAGTAGATAATTCAGAAAATCCTCACTTCAAACACAGAGTTATTTCTATTTCCTGTTCCAATAGCTCAGCTACTTCTCCTGTGTTTTTACTATATTTTCTGCTATCTTAGACTTTTAAGATAATTATTTGTAGTATCTGACAAGAAATTGCATTTTTAAATGCCTTTGAAAAAACTTCAACCTACTTAAGCAAGGTGAAGATGCCTAAAAATAGCTTAATATAAACCAGTCATTTCAGAATCTCTGGTGATTATGTGTTCAAATGCCATTAGAGTGTATCTTATTCAAGCAGGAAAGGAAGAAGTTGTTAGCACTGAAATTGCATAAAACATGCTAAAACTTCTCAATCTCTGGGAGGCTGGGAACAATGGGAAGCCCAGACTTTTCCCATCAAAGCAAAGAATGCAATATGTTGTTTTATTTTTGAAAGGGGAACAGAAAGGGAAGAGTATTTCCAATTATCTGTCCACCTCAGCTGGGCTGCCTAACTACTGATTTTGGTAAGCATCTTGTTAATGGCTTGCTTGACATGCGTGGTGGAGCTGCGTCGCCTTGTCTTGCCCTGCACCATCCTCCGGCGACGTACCTCTCGACACAACTCATAGAATATCTCCGTGATGTTCCCTTCTCCAGTGCAGGCAGAACACTCGTAAAAAGCACAAGCCAGTTCTGTGGCCAGCTTCTCTCCTTCTTCTGTGCTAACCTGCCTTGAGTGGTCCAAGTCAGCTTTGTTTCCAACCAAGATGAGAGTCACATTCTTGGGCTTCTTGACCTCATCTAGGATGTTCTTAAGTGGCAGCACTTCCTCAAAACTTCCTCGGTCAGTAATGTCGTAAACCAGCACAAAGCCTTCCCCCCATCGCATGTGCCCTTCCTTCTGAATGGCATCTTCCTGTTGGCAGAGAAAAATGGCCGTCAAGAGACCTGGAAATAATCAAAATATATGGATGCCGCTAACGCTGACAGTAATCCATTAATTATGATTCTTTATATCCAAAGTCATTGAAATGTCGTGGCACTCTAATTGTACAAACTTTCTAAATTAGTTTTATTTAAAACTATGTATTTACGTATTCATCTCAACTATTTCAGAGAACTGAATATTTTTTTTTTTTTTTTTTTTTTTTTTTTTTTTTTTTTTTTTTTTTTTTTTGAGACGGAGTTTCGCTCTTGTTACCCAGGCTGGAGTGCAATGGCGCGATCTCGGCTCACCGCAACCTCCGCCTCCTGGGTTCAGGCAATTCTGCTGCCTCAGCCTCCTGAGTAGCTGGGATTACAGGCACGCGCCACCATGCCCAGCTATTTTTTTTGTATTTTTAGTAGAGACGGGGTTTCACCATGTTGACCAAGATGGTCTCGATCTCTTGACCTTGTGATCCACCCGCCTCGGCCTCCCAAAGTGCTGGGATTACAGGCTTGAGCCACCGCGCCCGGCCGAAAATTTTCTAATTTAACAGATTTTAACTAACTTTCTGCTTTTAATTTTTTCTTGCCATATCATTAAATTTGTAATCATAAGAACTAAAGAGAAATTCTAATCTTAGTTGAGCACATCACTTTTAAGAATTTTCATCACAATTAAGGAATTAGCAAATTTTTAACAGACAAGTAACCCCTATCCCACCTTTTAAGTATCAGAATTAGAGCCAAAATTTATCAAGACGCCATTTTGGTTTATTTATTACTTTTTTGGTTTGTTGTTTGTTTTAATTTTCTCTCTCTTCAGTTTATAGACAATTAGCCTCCAGAAAAACTGACAAAATATATAGAGAATCCAACTCTATGCTAAACGATTTGGCTTTTTACTTTCTTTTCCTATCTCGGTGCCCTGAAAATGTCATGTAGTACCAATGACAGAAACTCTTTTGAAGTGATTCTCGAGGTGTGTTATCACTCCTTCATAGGAGCATGTATGATTTGAAAAAGCATTGCTTTCCTGGTTCAAATGACGTCTAGAGGCATACACTTCCCGGCTGCCTCTCTTTTCAGAATCCGTGCTCCCTGAAGGTCAGAGAATAAGTAGGTGGTGATGAGACGGAAAAGTGGGTAATTCATTTCAAGAACATTTCTTGGTTTAAACACTTTGATTCAAGTCTTTTTTGGGGTCATAGGTCATTGATAAAGTACCATGGAAACCTTCAGCTTTCTGTCATTCCAGTGGCCATTTCTATACCTGAAAACTAAACCTGTCTATGAACCCTTTTGTATCAGAAGTCACTGACCTAATGCCAAATATTACAAGAAAGATAACTAAAATGAAGTATCCTGAAATGACCAAACAAGCAAACAAACTTACATGTAGTCATGTAAGTTTAGAATACAACGTATATTGAATCTCTTTCTTAAGGACTCACCTTACACATAAGCATATTAGAGGCTCTGAGAATTCTTTCAGTAAAGATACCTGTTTAACTTCATTTGAGCACTTCAAACACATTTGACCATGAAAACTTATTAATAACTTGCTATGTCACAAAATATAGATGAGAGAGTCTAACCTAGATGATATGTGAATATTACAGTATTTTCAAAATCCTATTGAAACACTGGACAGTTTACGAAAGGATGCATATACAGATATTTACAAATGTGTTAATATATGTAAAATGGCTAGTTAATTAGAGAAAAAGGTTTTAGGCATGCAAAAGTTAGTTGAAGAAAAGTGGCTTATTTTTGTTCATAGCATGGATTTCTGGTTTTTATTTGATCCAGGAAATATTTTAGCTGAACTCTTTATTCACCTGGCCAGCAGTATCTAGTATCTCCATGGAAACAACTTCATCATCGATGGTTGCTTGGTGTCGGTAGGTTGATTCTAAGGAATGAGCAAATAAAAAAGGCAAAAAGGTAAATAAACGCAACATTTAATTTGATCCTTAAAAGTAGAAAGTGGGCATGGGAGAAGTAGTCCTGATTTTGCAGCATAAGGAACTGTGTAGTCTAGGAAAGAGAAGATGGATGTGCAGAAATGTAGAATCATCATACCTAGCTCCTGGACATAACAAGTTCTAACGTGGGAGCTAACGGCTTTCAGAGTATAGAATAGGGGGAATCTTTTTGTGTCTTGCTACCCTATCCTTTCCCCACCCCCCCTTTTTTCTTCTTTTTTTTTTACAGAGTCTAGTTCTGTTGCATTAGCTGGAGTGCAATTGTGCAATACTGGCTCACTGAAACCCAGGTTTCAAGCGATTCTCCTTCCTTAGCCTCCCAAGTTCCTGGGATTACAGATGCCCACCACAACGCCCAGCTAATTTTTGTTTTTTAGTGAAGACAGAGTTTCACTATGTTGGCCAGGCTGGTCTCAAACTCCTGACTTCAAGTAATCCACCCACCTTGGCCTCCTAAAATGCTGGGATTGCAGGTCTGAGCCACTGTACCCAGTCCTAGCCTTTCCTCTGAATATTCCATTTTATTTTTCTGCAAGGCCAGCTCCCTGGTGCTCTTTTCCTTCTATAATGAGACCTCCACAATGTAAATTGAGAAGGTGATTTTCACGAAATGCATACTGCCTTGATGCTTCTAAAAATCGTTTCTGAAAACCACGGTTTCTAACAAGATGACATACAAACAAAAACAAATTTCCTTCCAAACCTCAACTCTGGAAATACAACAGATACTCTCAGGAGGTGAATGGTTCTTGCCAAATGAGGTAAAACTATGAGAAACTCTAGGGGTAGTAAAAGATGGTCGGACCCCAGTGTTGGGTGGTTGGTGAGGAACAGTAATCCAAAGTAGAGGAGGGCAGGGCAGCATGGAGGGGATATGGAACTCCATGGAGTCCTCTTGCTCATGTTGCCTCTTCAAAGTAGAAAAATGGCAGCCACTTAGTACCAGCCGGAGGTTGGTGGATCAACAGCAGAGTGGTCACCAAGCTACATGTGGGGAAGAAGTTAGCAGGTGCAAGAAGACTGGGTGGCCTGATTATGCCCGATCACATAAAATGGATATCATGGGTCAAAAGTAAGTACCAACTGATGTTTCTCTGTATGAAAACTAGAACAAGAGAAATAAAGAACTGAATGAATGACTGACTGACTTGATGAGAGTCAGGTTGAGGAATTCTCCCAGCAGTGTCAGTAAGTAGAAAGACGGAACATGGGAAAGTAAAATTTAATAAGAAGTATGGATAATAGAATGAGAAATTTTAGTATCCTTTAAAAAATAAGCCTCAGGCCGATCATGGTGGCTCAAGCCTGTAATCCCAGCACTTTGGGAGGCCGAGGTGGGTGGATCACGAGGTCGAGAGTTCGAGACCATCCTGGTCGACATGGTGAAACCCCATCTCTACTAAAAATACAAAAAATTAGCTGGGCATGGTGGCGTGTGCCTGTAATCCCAGCTACTCAGGAGGCTGAGGCAGGAGAATTGCCTGAACCCAGGAGGCGGAGGTTGCGGTGAGCCGAGATCGCGCCATTGCACTCTAGCCTGGGTAACTAGAGCGAAACTCCGTCTCAAAAAAAAAAAAAAAAAAAAAAAAAAAAAAAAGAGCCTCAAAGGAGAGAAAATACATAGAGTGGAAATTATTGAGGTTGTTATGATAGAGAATTTCCCAACATAAGAGAACAGTGATAGATTTTAAGATTAAAAAAACTAGCAGGAGACATGAGGAAAAAGTTCCAGATCTAAACCTATTACAGCAAAATTTAAGGATATCAATGACAAAAAAAAAAAGTCTAAAGGGACTGAGTGAGTAAAGCACATCACCTACAAAAATATGGAACTCAGATTGACATAGGACTTTTTGCCAGTGAAACTGAATTTAAGATATCCATCAAAACAGTAAAACTACATCAAAATCAACCAGGCATTACAATTCTAGATGATTTTATCAGTATATCAGGATGAAGAGGGGGGAAAAGACCAGAAGCAAGTTTGTGTGAACTAATGTACTTGTCTCATTCCAGAAGATGATATAGCTTTTAAAAAGCTAGAAAAAGTGAACTAAGTAGTCAATAAATTAGAAGAGAAGAAACAATAAATTCAAGACAACAAGAAATAAATAAAAGATAAAACATTATGAAAAAGAAAACAAAACCAAAGCATGATATTTGAAAAGATATAAAAAGAGGGCAGGATTGTAAAGATCTGACAATACTGCTGGTAAATTAAGAGAGACAATGCAATTAAAATTCAGCAAAGAAAGAAGCAATTGTACATTCTGCTGAAATAAAAAATAAAATATGAAGTTTATAGCAATAATTTCAAACTCATATATTCTGGGAGAAAAACACACAGATGAGTGTAAGTAAAAAATACAGCACTTAAATAGATCAATAGTTATTAAATAAATTTAAATGCCAATTGTAGATATCTCCCTACAAAAAAACAACTGTGCCAAGATAGTTTTATAGAATGTTTATTTCAAACATTGAAAAAATTATAATACACAAATAGAAAAAGTATTGCTACCCAATTCCTTTAATGGGGAATTATGCTGATTCTAATAATAAGTAGCATAAGAATAAAGAGAGGAAAACCAAAAATGAAAAGGAAAATTGTAGGCTCATTTTGTATTGGAATATATGTTTAAAAATTCTAAACGAAAGATTATCTAACTGCATCCAACAGTGTAATAAGTATATCAGGGTCAAGCAGCATTTACTTCAGGAACACAAATAGTGTTTAATTTAAACCCTATCAGTGAAATTTGACACATTTAAGAACTAAAAGGGAAAACATAATAGAAAATGTTTTTTCTACAGTTTATTATTTATGATTTTATAAATGGTTCAGAAAAATAAGAATAGAAGGAATTCCTTCACATGATAAACTTTATGTCAAAAATCCCACAGCATGCATCCAATAAATAGATACATTTTACACACACTGCCTTTAAACTTAACAACATAGAAAAATATATGCTATACAAATATTTAATCCAATATGGATTGCAAACTCTAGATGATACAATAAGAAAGGAAAAAAATAAATAAGAGATATGAGGATAGGGAAGGAACTTGAAAAAAGATCATCAAGGTTATAGAATTTAAGGTCAACACAGTATCACTAGCTTTCTTTTATATCAGCAAAAGCCATGTAGGAAAGATAAGAGTAAAAAGGAAGCTACTCCCAGTAATAGTACAATAAATAATATTTATGAAGCAATAAAAATGAACAAAATCCTTCAAAACTCTCCAAAAGCAAAAACGAAAATTTTGTAAAATGGAAAATTTTAACAGAACATAAAGGCTTGAATAAATAGGAAACTCCTAGGAAAATGGAGAAACAACATTTTTAAAAACATATCAGTTTCCCCCCAAATTAATCTAGAATTTAATGCAATTCAAATGAAACGTCCAGCTGGACTTTTTGAGAGGCTCCAGAAACTTATTTAAAATTATATAATACTATATAACATTACTCTGAACAGCGTGGGACTACTAATATCAGAATGTACAAATTTACCAAGGCCTTAAGAGTAGACTCATATTTATATAGGAACGTAGTATATGACTGAGCTGGCACCACAAATCACTTAGGAAACAGTAAATGGTTCAATTAGTAGCATTTGCATTAGAACCAATAAGAGAGAATTAGCCACTAAATGCAAAAAATAAAGTTGGACTTCTAGGGCATATATTAAAATAAATCTGGATTGATTAGCAATCTAAACTCATCTAGCGTTGAAGAGTGAAACCTAAAGTTAAAAAAATTAAAAATAAGAAAGTATAAAACTTCATGCACAGACCAAAAAAAGTGATATAAAAAATAACTAAGTTGACTACATTAAAATTAAGAATTTTGTGCAATATTAAATAGGCTAAAGACTGGAGAAAATATTTGTGACATCAAAAGAAAGAAGATGATTAATATCTAAATTATGAAAAATTTTAGAAGTTAAAAAGGTAAGTGAACCGGAAAGAAATATGGGCAAAGTATACAAAGAGGAAATTTCACAGAGGAAGATGCCCAATTGGCAAAAACATATATCAAATGATGTTCTACCTGCTTACTTACCAGAGAGAAGCTTATAAAATGACTTTATGACCATAAGATTGGAAAAATTACAAAGCTAGGTAACATAATGTCTGACTAGGTTACAGGCAGCTTCTCTATACCAGCAATGAGAGTGTAGACTGGTGCATCATTCTGAAGAGCAATTCACTACTATTTGATGTGGGCATACCTTATAATTCAGCAACCTCCCTCTCAGGTACATGTAGCAGAAGAAACCTGGCCCAGGTTCTTACAGCACTGGGTCTCAAAGTGTAGTGCCTGGACCAGTAACATGCAGATCACCTAGGAACTTGTTATAAATGGAAATTCTAAGGCTCTACCCCACACCTATCGGCAATCTGTGTTCTAACAAGTCCCTTAGGTGATTACGGTGCATAGTAAAGTTTGAGAACCACTGATTTAAAGGCATGTTTTCCCCAGTGATGTTAGCAGTAGTTCATATTAGAGGCAACTTAGGTGTTTGCCACTGGAGAGATTAGTTAAATGTGGCATAGTAAAGAACACTGTGTAGAAAACTCTGAGTAAATATTAAAAAATGCGTGGATTTTAAAAATACCACATTTAGTTATTATGATTAGAAATGTATGTAAGCCGGGCGCAGTGGCTCACGCCTGTAATCCCAGCACTTTGGGAGGCCGAGGCGGGTGGATCACGAGGTCAAGAGATCGAGACCATCCTGGTCAACATGGTGAAACCCCTTCTTTACTAAAAATACAAAAAATTAGCTGGGCGTGGTGGCTCGTGCCTGTAATCCCAGCTACTCAGGAGGCTGAGGCAGGAGAATTGTCTGAACCCAGGAGGCGGAGGTTGCGGTGAGCCGAGATCGCGCCATTGCACTCCAGCCTGGGTAACAAGAGC